CATCATGAACACACACTGAGATGTAGCTGAGGACAGTCAGGGTTTCTGGTTGTTATAGATGGTGACCTTCTTTGTGGTGGCGACATCATGAACACACACTGAGATGTAGCTGAGGACAGTCAGGGTTTCTGGTTGTTATAGATGGTGACCTTCTTTATGATGGCGACATCATGAACACACACAGAGATGTAGCTGAGGACAGTCAGGGTTTCTGGTTGTTATAGATGGTGACCTTCTTTGTGGTGACGACATCATGAACACACTTAGAGATGTAGCTGAGGACAGTCAGGGTATATGTCAGAGTTATTGTCAAATCGACATGGTTGAGGTCGCCCGCTACCACATAGAATGCCTCTGGATGCTTGTGTTGGAGCGAGCTGATGATGTCATGAAGCTCTCTCAAAGCCTCGTTAGCATTAGCATCCGGCGGGATGTAAACCGCCTTGACGAATACTACAGCGAGCTTGTGAGGTAAATAATGTGGCCAGCGTTTCACAGTGACTTGTTAAATCGACTCGGAGTAGTATCTGCTCACCATTGTACAGTTAATGCACAAAGCATTGTTTATGTAAACACATAGTCCTTCCCCGCAAGTTTTCCCCGACCGGTGAGTGCGATCCGCTCGGAAAAGTTGCAGTCCGTTGATCTGGAAAGCTGAGTCCGGCATGTTGTCTTTTAGCCATGTTTCCGTTAGGCAGAGTACCGCACAGTTCCTCATCTCACGGGAAGCTCCCAGCCTCAGACGAATTAGATCCATCTTGTTATCCAGAGACACTGGCCAAGAAGAGTGATGGGATCAGTGGTCTGCTAGCCTTTAGCTTAGCTAGCAGGCCGCCCCGTTTACCCCTGTTTTGTTTCCGAGCGCACCGCTTCCGCTTAGCTCCTAGCCGCTGCACTCTACCTCGCCAGTCCGATGTTCTCAGAAGCCTCAATCTGCCTAAGATAGACATGACTACAGGGGGAACAGTCATGGTATATTAGATTAGATTAGATTAGATAGGACTTTATTGATCCCACAGTGGGGAAATTTGTGCGTTACCACAGCTCTAGACAGATAGCCTGAAAAGAGTACAAGAGTAATCCAAGAATATAAAAATACAAGAATAAGATTACAAGAAAAAAAATAAAATAAAATAAAATAAAACACTAAATACAACAGTAGTGCCTATGTACACCCATACACAGTATGTAATATGGATAGTGGGTTGTGGGAAAAAGTGCAAGTAATAATAAATATCAACTATTTATTAACTAATAGTTAATATTTCTATTAACTATTTCCAGCCCTGATATCCATGAGTTCGACTGAACTGTAAGTCAGGTGCTTGTTCATGCAAGAAGCAGAAATACCAGTTAAATGGGGCTTAATTCTGAGAGCTGGAGAAGCCGCTGCACCGTGACTTGCCGCCATCTTGTTTGTACATGATATGGTGAATCTAATTCTAGGATATTTTAAATAGTGATGAATGTGAGGGTGTCCTAACTTCTTCCTCAGTGGAAATGACCATTTTAGTCAATTTCTTTGCATAAATAAGTGAATTTGTTTCTTGTTTTTGCGTAGGTGATGTAATGACATCCCCTTTATCTACATGTAGCGCCCCCATGCTGCAGTAACAGGCATGACTCCTAAACCCTATCCACTATCCCTTCAGGGCGCCCTGAGATCTTTTATTTTATTTACAGTAATTTACAGATGGAGCTTTGAGATGTTGTTTTCTCCCCTATTTGGTATGAGCTTCTGCTGCTCTCATCTACCAAAGGTACTCCCGGTTTAAATAATCACCATCTTCCAGGGTAAAATGGAAACACAGACCTTTACTTTTAAACCGAGATCATCACACAATAAAATAAATAACAATCGGCTAGGGTATCTGTCATTCAGGGCTTTACCAAAAATGTCATGTGATTGAATTTTTTTTCCATTTCTTTTTTTATATATAGAATCGGGTCTCTTTAGGAGAGATGGTCAGGTTTTTCATGACAGAATGACATTTAGGGTGTTTTATGGCCCCAGACCAAGCAGACCCCAGTGAACTCTATTAGGCTAAGGTGTGTAAACAATAGTGCTGTAGTTCTCGATACCGGTCTTGGTCTCAAGACCAATTTTTTGTGGTCTCGGTCTTGTCTTGGTCTCGACTCTATTTGGTCTCGGTCTTGTCTTGGTCTCGGACATAGAGGTCTCGATGGGATGGGGAAAAAAGAGAAAACAGCACATCCTCACAGAACAGTATCATTATTTATTACGCGCCTCAATTCAAATGCAACCAGTCAGATGCATCTATTTTAAAAACGTTACATTTTATACATTTTCTCAACGGACACTGCCAGTGCTTCACAGTCCACACACATCATACACATTGCATCATAGCGAAGTCAGCAAAGAAATGTCCGAAAATGTCCGTGAAGTCTATAGCATAGTTATAATTCAAATAAATTAGGTATTTTACATTGATTAGAAAGCACGGTCTTGGAGGTGCAAGTCAATCCGGAGGCTCATTCTCTTCAATTCAAAGCAAAGGATCATTACATAGCTGTATTCATAGCTTACCCAAGGCCTCTGTCCCTGGTATAAGAGACTTAATATGAACATTTTTCTGGCACATCCCATCTCTTTCCCTTGACGAGGTCTGATAAAATGGTTATAGGAGAGGATTGCTGAGAATATTATTTTCCATCAGGCCTCGTAACTATGACAAATATGGGAGATTTTAAATGAGAGACATATGGATATATGGACAATATAATTGAAAAGATAACATGAATTTGATTTAACGAGTGATGACACTTTACAGCAATGCCTTTTTTCTCTACAGTTGATCTGAGTAATGTGATGTCGATTCTAGCCCTAGTCTGTTTTCGGTCTTGGTCTTGGTCTCGACCAGTCTTGGTCTTGGTCTCGCCTTAGTGTGTCTTGGTCTTGGACTTGGTCTTGGTAACCTCAAGTCTCGGCAATGTCTTGGTCTCGGTTTAGGCGGTCTTGACTACAACACTAGTAAACAAGCATTTGAACTTTACCTCTTGTAGTAAACTAGAGCCAAATTGGTGGCTTATTCCGTGATATCACCGGATTATCTTCAAATTTAGTATGCTTAAACGGAGCTACAAACTCCTTTTGAGGTATGTGGATACCCTACAGGTGGCTAGATTCAGGTAGCATGTTGTATGTCAATTATTACCGACAAGTTCCTTATTCATTTGTGTTCTCCGGAACAGATGCTTCTCTGTCTTTCATTGCTGATTGTTCCTCCTTTAGTCTTCTTTTTACGTGCACTGTCACTTTCTGTGCCACATCAAAGACAAACTCACAAGTGTCACACAGGATTCTGTCATGCTTGCATATTATTGATCGCACACATCCAGAGATGGGTGTGGTGAAGCCGTCTGAAATCTTTGCACACAGTTCTGTTGCCGGGCAAAATTTTGCAGGGCACCAAGGCCACTATGGCCTCTGAACATGGATTTTCAAAGGGGCATCAAAGCCAGAAAGAGGGGCAATGGCGTCCATGGCCGTCGGTGAAATTCCTGCCCTGTCACCTGTGATCTATTAGGTTGTTTACGGTACAGGTTTATATTTGACACTATGTCAAATATAATTCCAACCTTTGGCAGAAATCAAAATATGAAATGCAGAAATCCGTGAACAATAACTTCCGTGACTGAGTGACGACTCTGCTGAGTCTCAGTTCCTGTTGTGCGGTGTGACAGTGACAGACAGAAGTGGCCAGGATCTACAAAAGTGCCCGGTCCAGACAGCCCAGGAACCTGTAAACAAAGACCAGGTTCTGGAACTTCGGTGTGAAAGCGCCTAATGAGGTAAGTAATAAAACCAACGGGTGCAAACAATTCAAAGAAGGAGGTAATTCCAAACTGAGAACAGCTATGGGCCGCTGGGCTCTGGTCTGTGACAAATGCAGCCCTCCAGAGCATGTAGATGGAAAAGTGCTTTAAAGTCCTCAATTCAATGGCTACATGCTTTTTTTTTTAACTTAAGCACACAGTAGAATATGGCCCACAGTTGTAAGTCTAAATGATCAGTGCACATCTCTACTAGTGGTTTAAAAACTGACTGGTAGCTTGTAAACTGAATTTTGAATATAACATTACTTCTGCTTTTGATTACAGAGTCGGACTGCAATACATGGGAACTGGTTCTTTACAACCCTAATTGTCTAAGCGATGGCTCACTCTTCCAATGAGGAGGTTTGGATGTAACGTTTCAGCACGATACATGTTGTTAAGGCCGTAAATACCAGACATGGAAAGACAGGAAAGCTTAAGTTCATAACATGAACAACTATTTTCGGCTGAAGCTGTCTGAATATAGCAGACAAAAAGCTCTATCACCACAGTGCTCTTCCCCAGGCTCTTCCCCACTTCCTTACCATACCGCACTGCACCAAATGTTACAGATGTACTGTAACAGAACAGAATAACTTAGCAGACAAAAAAGCTCACTCTCCACAGTGCTCTTGCTCAGGATACTTCCATACCATACCGCATTACAACAAATGTTACAGACGTAACAGAACAAAATAACTGTCATAAACAGGTGAGCTCAGACCGGGGAAGCAAGAGAAGGAGATGAAGTCCTGGGTAAAAAGGGATTTAATGGGGAGACAGAGAGGCATGCAAGGCAGACACAAGGCTTCAGATGTCATAACAATACAATGACAGGACTAGGGAAACATACTCTGACGTGGACTTAAATACACTGAACTAATGAAAACAACTCAAAACAGCTGGTAAACACGGAGAATTCACAAGAGGTTAACAAAGGGGGCGTGGCACACATGAGGATCAGACGAGCAAGGTGTGACAATAACTTAGCAGACAAAAAGCTCACTCTCCACAGTGCTCTTCCTCAGGCTACTTTCTTACTATATTGTGCTACTAGAAATGTTATTGACATATTGCAACAGAACAGCATAACAGTATAAAATATGTGTAATTATATTGGATGCTGTCTTAACATGTATTTTGTTTTTGACCTCATTGTTTCAATGTGCTCTATTGGGTCTTAAGCATTTTTTTTGCTATTTAAATTGGATGGGTCTCTCTTTTAAAAGAGATTTTAAACATCAGTGAGACTAACCTGGTTAAATAAAGGTTTAATAATAATGCAGAATATAAACACATACATGTGCTTCTTATAGTTATGAAAGAATCACAGCAGGTGTCTCCTGCAGACATATAAGACTATGAGCAGGAAACCTGCCTTCTGAAAGGTCAGTGCATGTGTGGGAGTGACCATGTACGGGTTTGTGAATCTCATGGACTCATCTCTGACATTCTGCAGACCCAGACCTCGCTCCCCGACCTCTTGGAGGAGTACCTGGAGGAGCTCGATGATGAAGAGCTAAAGAAGTTTAAATGGAAACTGAGTCGCACAAAGTATAAAGAGTTAAAGCCCCTTCCCTGGGGTCAGGTGAAGGGCTTTGATATAATTGACCTCGCCAACAAGATGATAGATTACTACGGTGAAGCTGATGCTCTCAACGTCATGATTATAATCCTGAAGAATACGAACCTGAATGAACTTGCTCAGAGGCTGAATGAAGACCTGCAAAAGGGTAATCATATATTTAATTAACCTTTCTTGTTTTTTGTCTAAATTGTAACCTTATTAATCTTTAACCTGAAAAATTATCATATTGTATAGGATTATATAGGATTATATTGACTTGAACCCTGTATATCAGGGGGGCCCGTGGCATAGGCAGTACAGGAAAATGCCACCTTGGACTCGGTAGTGAAAGGCACTATATAAAATACATTGACTTGAACCCTGTATATCAGGGCGGCCCGTGGCATAGGCAGTACAGGAAAATGCCACCTTGTACTCGGTAGTGAAAGGCGCTATATAAAATACATTGACTTGAACCCTGTATATCAGGGCGGCCCGTGGCATAGGCAGTACAGGAACATGTCGGGGGTGCCGTCCATTCAAAAGGGGCAGAAAGGGAAGGGGGAAATTAAAATTTTGACTTTTACTATATTGATTTGCTACTATTTTACACAATTATTTTGAAATTATAAAAAGCTTTTTAAACAAACAATATTTTTTGCTTTGNCTCTTTTAAAGATCTTTAAAATCAGTGAGACTAACCTGCTTAAATAAGGTTAAATAATAATGCAGAAATAAACACACGTGTGTCTCCTATAGTAATGAAAGAATCACAGCAGGTGTCTCCAGCAGACATATAAGACTGTGAGCAGGAAACCTGCCTTCTGTTAACAGAAAGTTCAGTGCATGTGTGGGAGTGACCACGTACGGGTCTGTGAGTCTCATGGACTCATCTCTGACATTCTGCAGGCCCAGACCTCACTCGCTGACCTCTTGCTGGAGTATCTGGAGGAGCTCGATGATGAAGAGCTGAAGAAGTTTAAATGGAAACTGAGTCGCACAAAGTATAAAGAGTTAAAGCCCCTTCCCTGGGGTCAGGTGAAGGGCTTTGATATAATTGACCTCGCCAACAAGATGATAGATTACTACGGTGAAGCTGATGCTCTCAACGTCATGATTATAATCCTGAAGAATACGAACCTGAATAAACTTGCTCAGAGGCTGAATGAAGACCTGCAGAAGGGTAATCATATATTTAATTAATCTTTCTTGTTTTTTGTCTAAATTGTAACCTTATTAATCTTTAAGCTGAAAAATTATCATATTGTATAGGATTATATGGGAAATGTTGATGTTTGTTAGATACTGATGTTGGAGACAGAAATGAATCTGAAATTCTTCCTTATTTCAGGTCCCCAAGCAGGAAGTGAGCTGGGTGACATATTGGAGCAGAGTAAGAGCTTTTTCTATACTGTCAGTATGGGGGGGGGGGCAGCCAGTTGTCTGTTGTCATCTGACTTTCTTTCTTTCATTTCTTTGTCTTCTCTTTTCTGTGTTTTTGAATTATTCTGTATAAATGCTGCAGGAATGTATCCCAACATGCCCATGTAAAGCACCTTGGACTCGGTAGTGAAAGGCGCTATATAAAATACATTGACTTTGAACCCTGTATATCAGGGCGGCCCGTGGCATAGGCAGTACAGGAACATGCCACCTTGGACTCGGTAGTGAAAGGCGCTATATAAAATACATTGACTTGAACCCTGTATATCAGGGCGGCCCGTGGCATAGGCAGTACAGGAACATGCCACCTTGGACTCGGTAGTGAAAGGCGCTATATAAAATACATTGACCTGAACCCTGTATATCAGGGCGGCCCGTGGCATAGGCAGTACAGGAACATGCCACCTTGGACTCGGTAGTGAAAGGCGCTATATAAAATACATTGACCTGAACCCTGTATATCAGGACGG